ATTACTTTCAGTAAATCTGGAATTTCAGGTGGAACCAAAGATTGGAATTGTCTTAGTACTTAACAAGTTTAGACATATTTTGATTTTATTCCAGCAGACTATTCTACTTATAGTACTATTAACTATAGTCTTATGTTATTTATTATACCAGCCAAGCTTGCATTCCATTGGGTAATGTCGTTTGGCGATGGAATCTATGCCTTTGACGCTTTTAGCCAAAAAATTTTCCTAATCAATATTAGATTTGCCAAAATTTTATCAGACGTGTAAGAGGTTATGGGTAGTAATAGTACTTCAGAATTTTGGATGAAAATCGGTGCCACGAAGTTCTGGCAATTCTATTAATCTCATAGAGCTCAATGTATGCTATTTGAACAATTCGTCATTGAAAATAAATTGCTTGTAATAAGAATGAATTATCTCAAAAGAATCCAAGTATCTTTCCTGATCATTATGCACGTAGGCCTTTTGCACAGTATGTCGTGAATAATACTAAATAGTGAAATAACAAAAAATAGTATATAATATAATAAAATCTATTTTAGTTTTCTGCATAGAGTAATAACTTACATATACACGTATTAAAATGCTGTTTTAGGCTTGGCATCCTATATAGAACCTACACTAGCAGAGTCTGAAAACAAATTCCTGACAATGCATGTCCATGCAGAAAATTCCTATACAAACAGCCATGAATGGTTGTAAGTAGAATATTTAATAAAATCTAATATATTTATGGACCCTTTACATCTATGTCAATGAAAATGTAATTGAATCTAAGTGACAATGTTCAGGTATTTGGTACGAAACGTCTCAATAGTAAATATAAATATACTCTATTACTTACTGTGTGTAGGTACAAGTTCGTCACTATTTGTGTCAAGTTGGAATGTTACTCTTCTTTTACCTTTATTCTCCATTTCTTGTTCGGTTTTGGCCATTGTAGGACAGGAATCAGAATATTGCATTATACATCCATAGTTTGAGATTTAAATAACTTATAATCCATGTCATTGGGTCTATAAACCCGGCATTATAACCCTCACCAATAATAATATCACCTTTAGTCAATGAATACTATACACTCAGTCATTAACGCCGGTTGTGTCTTGCACGCGCTTCTCAAACCAGTTTACCTTTAAACAGATTACGTCAGCGTTCAATTTAACTATCAACTGAAACCGGTTTGTAAAAGTCGATCGAGTCATTCATGAATGGAGTGGAATTCCAGTGGTGTTACGTGTGTAGAGTATTAATGGAATATAGTGCATAGAAACATCAAGTTGCTACTGTCTGATTAAGATTTAGCCTTGACATAGATCATTTGGTAGAAATTGATCGTTGCTTTAAATCACATAAATATATGGTCACGTTGATTAACTTAAAGCGACACTTATTGATATAAGATAATTTTTGGTCTCCACAGTTTAGAATCTACCAGAACCAAAAAGTCCGACTGAAATTATTTAAATGTATTTGCACGTTTCGACCTCTTTGTACGAAGATACAGAAAGACATGTGGATCTGTCAGAATCTACCTGTATTTCTTAACGTTTATTGTAAACCTTTACACATACATTCCTCTCTTATACCAATAAGTACTTCCGAAATCTTGACATGCCCAAAATTAATTTCTGAACGTAATAGAAACGGCTACAAGGTGGCCTACATTCTAACTGAGCTCAGTAAGTCTCTTTAATTTTAAGTGATTTTCCATTACTAACGTATTCACTTGTATATATGTAGACTAAACCCCACAACGTCTGTTACTTTGTGCTAAACGATGCCAATATTCCAGTGCAATACGGTGAACTATATTTCAGATCAGGTTGACACCTAATGTCGGGTTCTGGGTGATTCCGTTCTTCTGTATCAAATTTTCATTGTTCTATGCAATTGATGAACTGAGAATGTCTAAAATACACCTAAATTGTTCATATCCTCTTTTTAGATACGTTTAATTCTGCTGATGTCATAAGATAGTCTAATTGGGTATTCTCTCTTAGTTCATTGTGGTTCCTGTGCTATGTTCAAATATTTTCTACAATGTTTAATCCTTGAAGATGTTCCCTTTCGAAATAATTTCAGTTATATAGTGGATGTCCTCTTTTAAAATTAGATCCCAAAGGGTAACCGTATTTAGGATGTCCTCCTTTAACACTACGATATCCAAATAATCTTCGAGTGTCCCATTGCAAATTCTACTTAATATCAGTGGATATCCTTTATGGCTTCACGCCGGTCAAAATATATGTTAATCATAAGTACACCACTTCAGAGGATGCCTAACAGACCGTATTCTCCATAATTTTGTTGTCCACTAGTGTCCTGATTTCACAAGGTTGTACAACATACTAGCAACCCTTCCTTTCGTCTAAAGACATATATTGCAAATGACATATTTAGAGATTACGAGAGTAGGCTACGCTTTTAAAAGAAATATATTGTTTGATTTATTGAAAGGTTTTTAAACGCCTCGTCGTTTACTCTATACCGGGTTATAACCGTAGGGGATTGCCGACTTCTATAGTGTTGTATTCTCTAGTACTATTTAGGTACAAATACTACGACAACATTATAAACAGTTTTTCTTACTGCTTATGCAATCATTGTTCACTGATTAAAATTTCGAAAACTACTTTAGGCGTGACTTATATATTATATTCAGGAGAGGGGTAATATAGGTCAAACCCTTTTCATTATCATATGAAGAAAATATTGTTTACAAAAAAAATTGTATTTTAGGTGGCATGATTGAGCATTTTCTTAAGGGTTATAATTTGAGTGGCCTTAGACATGAGGCGACTATAGTTTTTGGCATTGGTAACGGATTGATATAAACTTCGGTTTGTTTCTGAAACCATTTTGTTGATTTCTGTATGTCAAAGTATAATTCTGATATGACAATGGCTAATTGGTTTCTCTTGATGCAATTTAAGAGTGTGGACCTATGAGGTGCCCTCTCATTAATTTGGATAATGTATGCGTATGCAATTTTTCGATGATAAGCAAGCAAGTTATCTTTTGAATCGTATAAAATATAGACTATTCGGAAAGTAGAAAATAACATATTAGGCTACACAGTGTAGTTAATGCTTAAATGTTTTGAATATCCTCTTAACTTTTGAATCGAACCATAAGGTTTAATTGTTTGCTATATCACCTTGGCTCCAAAACTTTCACACTATCACGAGACATTCTTTTTTTTTAAATCTATAATTACAGTTAAATAATTCGTTGGCAGTGTGCATAGATTAATATTTTTACGCAAAACATATTAATGAATATGCTGGGTTTGGGAACTCAAGCGATATGGTCTCTCACAGGTCCGCGCCATGTAAGGCTGACACAATTCGAAAAAAAAACTACCAATGAAATAGACTTATATTAATATTCGATTGATAAAGAAGTATTCCACGTTAATATGGATTCGGTTTAGAGAGAGGTATGTAATGTGTATCGCGGATTTCAAAAAATAAACCTACTCTTAGATTTGACATCATTTACACCCACGTTTTAGGACTGATATCGTGTTGCAACTGAAAGAAATGCAATTCTTGCTTGTCCCCATGTTATCGTACAGATGTCCAGTCTAATGGGTATATTAATAGTTCGGATGTCACAAGATTAAGACATGTTAATAGTTACAGCCATGACGTAATCTAAATAGTACCTTATCAAACTAAATTAATTTGACATTTTTCAATCTTCCTGTGTCTATTTGTGTGAAATAATTTCAAAAAAGCGATTACAGAAGATGCCTTCAAAATTAGGTCCAATCATAAAATTACGTCACAACGAACCAGAAATACAGTCGATGACGTCAGTAGAGTACATCTTGGTAGCCGCTGACTTCCGACCTTTTTACATTGTATTCTTTTTAAGTCGACTCTGATTGTCTTTGACATTCTCGAAAACAAGCTGTGTATTACTGATAATCATACAAGTATGAAATGATTGTAACTATGATGACGGTCGTATCGTGTCAACCACAGTCTCTCTAGCACGCTGTTTTTATCAATTTTTTTAGATTTCAATAATACGTCTATGACATGCTCTACTTCGACATATCACAGGCATTCGTCAAAATGGTTTTTTTTTAATTGATTGTATCTGAAATTGGGAATGTATGTCAACTTCTCTATAGGAATTATGACTTAATCCCAACTCGCAGTGTTCAGTGATATTCGAATTGAATTTGTTAATATTGTGAAGTCGAATTTGGTTTCCATTATAATTAATAGAGAGAGAATCCTTGTTTAGTGAATTTCATTTTGTTTTAACTTTCTTCGAGAACAGCTCAGTTTTCTCCTCATTATCTAATCCTTCATTATGACTATGATATGAATATTTCTAATTATAAATACTGACTGACAAGTTGTATTTTTTTCACCAGTAAATGCTAACAATGTCAGATTTCTTTTTTTATTCTATAGATTTCGAGGAAAATCAAGGTCGTACTTTGTATATCATCGGACATCTACGGATCAAAATTCAAATAGTGGCTATGCTATTATATTATGCATTTCCGTGTATGTGGTACGACCTCGAGTTTGCTGCCAAAAATAAGTGTTAGCTCAAATATATATTTATCCACATAAACGATCTATCTTAGTTTGAAATAAAATACACAATTAAGGTGGTAGTTAATAATATACATGTATTAATGTATACTTTAATAATAAACTTCCTCACAGTTCCACGAACACTATTGATTCACAATGAATTGCCACGAATGCCTTTGTCGTAGCTAGTTTATCTAGGCCAGGCTGTTCCACCCACACATTCTGCCAACCTGGATTATATTAGTTCAGTAGAATAATGACACCTTTGATGAAAACGATTACAATTGTAAATCGAGTGTAAAGAGAATTAATCAGGCAGTTTTGTGGCTTTTAAAATCTCTTTATCAACACAATATCCAATGGATTATTTCTGCTTATAAATAGGCACGTGTTCCTAATTGATTGCAGACTGACTGGATTCTGGATATCGACTGATCACAGGCACATTGACTGGCAGATGACTACTTGAAATATAAACAGAGCTAAATACATGATATGTAAACATAGCTGACTACATGATATGTAAACATAGCTGACTACAAGAAATATAAACAGAGCTGACTACATGATATATAAACATAGATGACTACATGATATGTAAACATAGTTGACTACATGAAATATAAACAGAGCTAACTATATGATATGTAAACATAGATGACTACATGATATGTAAACATAGTTGACTACATGATATATAAACAGAGCTAACTACATGATATGTAAACATAGATGACTACATGAAATATAAACAGAGCTAACTACATGATATGTAAACATAGATGACTACATGAAATATAAACAGAGCTCTCTACTTGACATATAAAAAGAGCTGACTACATGATATGTAAACTTAGCTGACTACATGATATATAAACAGAGCTGACTACATGATATGTAAACATAACTGACTACATGATATGTAAACATAGCTCACTACAAGATATATAAACAGAGCTGACTACATGATATGTAAACATAGATGACTACATGATATATAAACAGAGCTGACTACATGATATATAAACATAGATGACTACATGATATATAAACATAGATGACTACATGATATATAAACATAGATGACTACATGAAATATAAACAGAGCTAACTACATGAAATATAAACATCGATGACTACATGATATGTAAACATAGATGACTACATGACCTATGTGCTATGTTCAATTTTGATGGACGTCTTATTTTTAATCCGTCCGATGTCCTCTTTTCTACAATGTTTAATCCTTGAAGATGTTCCCTTTCGAAATAATTTCAATTATATAGTGGATGTCCTCTTTTAAAATTAGATCCCAAAGGGTAACCGTATTTAGGATGTCCTCCTTTAACACTACGATATCCAAATAATCTTCGTGTGCCATTGCAAATTCTACTTAATATCAGTGAATATCCTTTAAGACTTCACGCCGGTCAAAATAGATGTTAATCATAAGTACATCTGACTATATTAAACTTGTTGTAATATAAACATAGCTGACTACATGATTTACAAAAATATTTGATTACATGATAATATATAAACATAGCTGACCACATGATATATAAACATAGCTGACTATATGATATATAAACACATCTGCCTACATGATGATATATAAACATAGCTCACTATATGATATATAAATACATCTGACTACATGATAATATATAAACATAGCTGAACACATGATATATTAACATGGCCGATGGCCGACTACATGATGTATAATTAGCTGACTATATGATATATAAATATAGCTGACTATATGATACATAAACATAGCTGACTATATGATATATAAACATAGTTGACTATATGATAATAAACATACCTGACTATATTAAACTTTAACATTGTTGACTATGTTCTTGAATATAGCTGAATATGTGGTATATAAACATAGCTGACTTCGTGATCTATAAACATAGCTGACTACATGGTGTATAAACATAGATGACTATATGATATATAAACATAGCTGACTATATGATACATAAATATAGCTGACTATATTATATATAAAAAGTTAACTATACGATAATAAACACACCTGACTATAATTATTAAACTGTAACATTGTTGGCTATATGATCTATAAACATAACTGACTATATTAAACTTTAAAGTTGTCCATATGAATATAAACTTAGCTGACTACATGGTTTACAAACTTAGCGGACTACAAGATTTACAAACATAGCTGACTACATGATATATAAGTATGCTGACTATATGATATATAAGCAAATCTGACTAAACAGAGCTTACCACATGATATATAAACATAGCTGACTATATGATATATAAACATAGTTAACTATATGATATATAAACATAGTTAACTATATGATAATAAACATACCTGACTATATTAAACTTTAACATTGTTGGCTATATGATCTTGAATATAGCTGAATATGTGGTACATAAACATAGCTGACTTCGTGATCTATAAACATAGCTGACTACATGGTGTATAAACATAGATGACTATATGATATATAAACATAGCTGACTATATGATATATAAAAATAACTGACTATATGATATAAAAATATAGCTGACTATATTAAACTTTAACGTTGTTGTCTATATGAAATAGAGACATGGCTGACAAAAATAGAAGGTTTTGTGATAATTTTTCAAAGTTAACAATATGATATAACAAATGGCTGACTATAAAAAATATATACATTACTGACTATAAAAAATATTTACATAACTGACAAATACATTAACATAACTGTATGATACATTAACTTAAAGACTATAATAACTTGAAATAGACGAATACACTTTAGTAAAGCTACAATACATTTACAAAACAGCTATCTATACTTTAACATAGCAGACTCTATGATACATCAACACAGTTGACTACATGATGCATGAATATAGCTGACTAATTGATACATTAACATTACTGACTAGTAACATGTGATACATGAAGATAATTGACAAGTAACATGTGATACATTTACATAACTGACTAGTAACACGTGATACATTAACATAGCTGAATAGTAACACGTGATACATTAACATAGCTGACTAGTAACACGTGATACATTAACATTATTGACTAGTAACACATGATACATTAACACTGCTGACTAGTAACATGATATAAATTAAAATAGCTGACTAGTAACACGTGATACATTACCATGACTGACTAGAAACATGTTATGCGTTAACATGACTGAAAAGTAACACGTGATGCATTAACATGACTGACTAGAAACACGTTATGCATTAACATAGCTGACTATTAACATGTGATACATTAATATAACTGACTAATAACATGTGATACATTAACATGACTGACTAGTAACACGTGATGCATTAACATAGATGACTAGTAACACGTCATACTTCAACATAGATGACCAGTAACACGTGATACATTAACATAGCTGACTAGTAACACGTCATACTTTAACATAGATGACTAGTAACACGTGATACATTAACATGACTGACTAGTAACACATGACGCATTAACATAACTGACTAGTAACACGTGATGCATTAACATGACTGACTAGAAACACGTTATGCATTAACATAACTGACTAATAACACGTGATACATTAACATAATTGACTAGTAACACGTGATACATTAACACAGCTGACTAGTAACACGTGATACAATAACATAGCTGACTAGTAACATGTGATACATTAACATAGATGACTAGAAACACGTTATACATTAACATGACTGACTAGTAACACGTGATACATTAACATAGCTGAGTAATAACACGTCATACTTTAACGTAGATGACTAGTAACACTTGATACATTAACATGACTAACTAGTAACACATGATGCATTAATATAGCTGACTAGTAACATGTCATACATTAACATAGATGACTAGAAACACGTGATACATTAACACAGCTGTCTAGTAACATGACATAAATTAACATAGCTGACTTGTAACATGTGATACATTAACATGACTGACTAGTAACATGTGATACATTAACATAACTGACTAGTAACACATGTTATTCAAGATTTCAAGGCTGGATCACTCAAATGAATATAAATATTTTGATTTAATATTCTCTTAGTAGAGGTAAGAATCTATTGTTTTAGCCTAGTGTGATATTCTAATTATTTACTTGATAGGCAAAGTCTATATATTGTTACGTTTCGAATGTATCAGCAGATTTTTTGACTTATGGAACTAGATACCTATTTAGAACCAAGGTTTGGTTTCGTATCACGGAAGTTTCAGCGATTTGATTGTATTCGTAAATTATATTGATCAAAGGTGAAGAATATGTAAGTTGATGAGATATTCGTGCGTTTATTTTATAGATGCAAATATCATTCAATACAATTCTGGATTGCGACAAGGTGCTTACTGGAATCTGGGCGTTATTGATTTTAATTGGGGTATACCAGACAAATTATTAAAAGACAACATGCTTGGGACTAGGCACTTTCAAAATGTCAAGCTATCATTAATTACATCTAATACCTTGATATCATTAGTCACCCGTCACGGAAGTATGTAAATACGGCGATTTGGTGGATTATACGCTGGCATATCTGGCTAATCAGAGTCCTCGATAGAGAGACCATACAAAATATGGCTGCGCGTGTAATCGAGGGCTCAAATTGGCTGTATTTGTACGCTTACGAATACAATCAAATCGCTGAAACTTCCGTGATACGAAACAAAACCTTGGTTCTAAATAGGTATCTAGTTCAATAAATTAAAAAATCTGCCGATACATTCGAAACGTAACAATATAATTTTTCCACCGTTACAAATTAAGTTTAATTCAAGATGAGTGGCATTCCATAGTAATTAAGTTGAAACCTCCCAGACTACCCGGTATCTACCTGTAATGGTGGTCAGTTATTCCTGTTGAGCTATATTGTTTAGTATATAGTTATATATTTAATTAATGATTGGTAGTTATTGAAACCATTACGTCACTTGTCTCAAGGTTAGTGGTTAAAAAATCAATGTTAATAGCGATTACTGTATCATTGATAAATGATCGTAGTCAGACGCTTTAAGTAATAATCATTTCTACTATTCTTCTCAATTTAATGTTTAGTAACCAACCAAATATCATATCAGGTGTCCCAGAAAAAACTAAAATCATGATATTTTTACTTGATATTTATAATTGATATGAGACGTGTTTACACAGAAATTATTTTCATAGGTTGAAACAATTTGAAATGACAGATTTTTTTTTAAATCCCTGTCAAATATGTGAAAAGTAATATCCTTTTAATGGCAATTGAGAACATTGAACTAGAAGATGGTACTGCCGACTAGTAAGGCATATATCCTTCGTCCTGCAGCCCACAGAGCCAAACCCATGCCCCAGAAGTTGTAATCAGACACACAACAGGGAAAACTAACAGGATCAAGTGGTCCCGTACACCATTTATTTTCTTTATAGATAGAAGAAAGGTCCCTCTAACCCAATTTTCAATTCAATAATATTTTATCGATATTCCTTATAAAATAGACCTATAACTTCTATATAGAGTCACAAATATTACGGGCATGTTATTTGACCTTGGGGAAGGACAAATTGAGGAAAGATCGCAAAGATAGTACATGAATTAAAGCTAGTGGACCACAGCCATATACGCCCACCACGGCATGCGGATGGTAAATATTCAAGATTTTGGGGCAAGGGAAATAACGGTCGAAAACAGCTCAAATTCGAACTTGATCTTCGTTTTATGAATATGTGTACACATACCGAATTTCATTTGATTCCATCAAAAAATCTAGTTTTTAGAGCGTTTACAAGCAAATGTTAACGGATGGACGGACGGACGAGGGTACCGACATTATACGTCCACATAGAGAGATGTGGGCGTATAAAAATGAAATGAAATTAAGTTAAGGTTCTTATTGGAACTTGCGAACTGACGGGAATTTTACATTGCATTTTTACGATACCCATAGATGTCTTCAATGTGTACAACCTGTGACATACTGTGCAAACCGCTGGACATTCTGTTATAAAATGGTTTTGTTTATAGTCGGGTTTAAAATTGAACACTCTCACGTCTCTTTCGTATAGGGCCTACTGTCATTGCGACAGTTTTGCTGTTGAAAGTGCGCAATAAGTTAAAGGGAGAGAACCGAGACTAAAATAGTATCACCTGCGTCAGGGCGGTAGAAATAGCCTACTTAACTAAACATTTATAATAAATAATAGTCTATACAAAACCTGTCTGGTGGTATTTAGTACAAATACTTCGACCATTATATTTTAGTACATTAGTAGTCATCAATGTCATTTAGAACAGGCGGTCTCTAGGATAGGGGTAGGATATTAGCACTGCCTCGAACTTTTCTCACGCTTTCCTTTCCAAGTCAACGTGTTTGGATTAGCCATCGGCATGATTTTTGGGGAAAAAACTGCTTTATTTTGGGTCCTATTAGATTAAAGATAATTTTATCAGGCAGATATTTTCAGACCCTTTAAAAATTTAAGCTCCGCCGCCCATAATCTCGACTAACCCATATATACAGACTTGATAATTCGCACAGACATCAAATTTTCTCTTATCATGCCAAAGCCAAATATTTCGTAGGGCGCTGGTTAATGTCCTCTTCTTCAAGAGAGCTAATTCATTATTCGTCAGTATCATTAAGATTATGCTTATGAGTAGAAAATTTAACGATGTTGTAGTTTGGAAAGAGAAACGACATAATATGTCATAATGAAATTAAATGGAGTTTTACGTCCTGTCTTTTTGGTCTTGATTAGTCACTATGAATAAGGGATAATTTTTATAAGAATTTAGTCCATTTGTTTAGAGTACATTATTATTATGTCTGTTGAAGAGTTGTGTCACGTGATGTCTGGGGATTAACTGTGCGAGATAATCTAAATAATGGGATTATCTGATCACGTGGTTGACAACGTGACCTCATAGTAACTAGTAACTTAACGACGATATTGATATACTACACTACCTATACACGTCAAGTGATTGCTGCTTGTGCTACTATTATTAATAAATAATAACAGTTCACTTGGTTCAGTTGAAGTCTACAGAAAATTTTCACAAAGGGTATACTATAACGTAAGTAAGCTCATATTATTTAGGTTCATCTTGTGGGTCAAATATTTTAGGATGGAGGTTTTACTAAATCATGAATGTCTTTTCTATCATATTAACAACATAACTTGAGGTTATTTTATGTCCCCAATCTAAGGAATCTACATTGTAACATAGTCTTCTTAACACTACTGATCTACTCTCAAATCTGGACCCTTCCCATGCCTTGTTGTTCTGGTAGACGTTTTAGCATGACACCATGTTTTATATCCCCACCTATACAATTATTATGACATCAAGATAACACAAGATTTCGACGTATCTGTAACTCTCCCATTAAAATTAATATAATTGTGACATGTACACTATGTTTACAAGTATTGTGGCAGCGCCTATATCTCTCCTTTATAACATTGTTACATCATAGCATCCCGTCGTATCTATAACTCTCCTTTATAACATTGTTACATCAAAGCATCCCGTCGTATCTATAACTCTCCTTTATAACATTGTTACATCATATCATCCCGTCGTATCTATAACTCTCCTTTATAACATTGTTACATCATATCATCACGTCGTATCTATAAATCTCCTTTATAACATTGTTACATCATATCATCCCGTCGCATCTATAACTCTCCTTTATAACATTGTTACATCATAGCATCCCGTCGTATCTATAACTCTCCTTTATAACATTGTTACATCATATCATCCCGTTGTATCTATATCTCTCCTTTATAACATTGTTACATCATAGCATCCCGTCGTATCTATAACTCTCCTTTATAACATTATTACATCATAGCATCCCGTCGTATCTATAACTCTCCTTTATAACATTGTTACATCATATCATCCCGTCGTATCTATAACTCTCCTTTATAACATTGTTACATCATAGCATCCCGTCGTATCTATAACTCTCCTTTATAACATTGTTACATCATATCATCCCGTCGTATCTATAACTCTCCTTTATAACATTGTTACATCATAGCATCCCGTCGTATCTATAACTCTCCTTTATAACATTGTTACATCATATCATCCCGTTGTATCTATATCTCTCCTTTATAACATTGTTACATCATAGCATCCCGTCGTATCTATAACTCTCCTTTATAACATTGTTACATCAAAGCATCCCGTCGTATCTATAACTCTCCTTTATAACATTGTTACATCATAGCATCCCGTCGTATCTATTTTCTATTTTTTACTATTATGGCATTATGACTTCATATATCCTTATCTGTACCTCTCAATTTACAATTATTTTACCATTGTGACATCATCACATGCTATGAAAACTCATTTGCATTTACTATTTTAGCATCAACATGAGTATATATAAAGAACCGGCATTTAGAAGTATGATTCGAGCCAGTGGGTTGGGCGAAGAATGGGTTCATGACCACGATGAAAGTAAGTTTAAACAAGTTGGTTGGAGATGTACGACAAAAGAAGATGCGTCATATGGTAATAGTACTCTGATTGGAAACTGGAATGAAAAACGTTTTGATATCGGTAAAGCCAAAGAGACTAAACCACTTCCATCACAAGTAAGAATCTACATGTATTAGAATTTTGTGCTCATACTTAGCTTGTGATTGACTAAAGCAACATCGCCATATTCGGGCGTGTAGAAGAAATAGCCAATCATTGACCTTACTGGTGATTTTCTGTCCGCTTGCTCCCAGTAATTCAATCTAAATTTAGCAAGTTTTAGTTATGCAACTGCTGTGATTTTAGTATAGCGTTCTACAAATTGTCTATAGATAATGTAAACTTACCAAATTTTAAGCATATTCATGAAACTAAAAATATAGTAAAACCAATATAGGACGAGATTGATCAGACTTTTGAATATTTAGAATAGTAAGAACATTCAAGAACTACAACGAACTCAACGTTTCATTATCCTTTTTTCTTCAGTACAACCATTACTTTGAATCTACATACGACACTGGTTACAATTTAAAGAATGCAGGAGTCCCAAGAGAATTGAAAAATTTGAAAGGTGGGTGACTTTCCAAGATAACCGTTGTGAACCAAAAGTGAAAAATTATTTGCTTTGAGATTTTTTTTTTTATTCACTATCTACTTTTCAGAACGACATAGTCACGCCTTTCCTAGTCATCAACCAGAGCTCGATCTTCCCAGTCTTAAATCCCAGTATAATAGCTGGGAAACAACTTCAAGAGCAGCTTACGTGGATCCGAAAATACGAGAGCATCCTATCACAAATGTAGTTCAAGAAACAAGAACATCTTAGTTAGTAAAAACTTTCAGAAAGCATCAAGACAGTCGTTAAAAAATATCAGAAGAAAAAATTCAGTCTTTTTGTGCTTGTTTACTTTATGTTTTTAAAAATCAAATCAAAATGAACTCTTGCAATCCATGTTGTTATTATGTTATTTTGTAAATAAAAAAGAGGATATTACTTCTTATAATAAGCCCCTTGATTAAGAGTATACTTTCATGCAGGGGACTGCACAGAACTACCGCCCATACTTTTGCTGTGGGTATTCTCTAGACTGTTCCACCCCTGTTCATTATTCGTTAAGCACCAAACACCATAATAAGAAACTTATATAAACCGATATTAAAAGATGTTTTCATAATAAATAGAAAATTAAAATATTATACACAGCATTTACTAGATCAATTAATAACAATAATTAAAATACAAATGGATAATTAATCATGACCAGAGTCATAATAGCTAACAATTTATTTGGTTGTTTATTATCAATCCAATAATTCAATAGTTATTCAAAAGTTCTGTATCTCTTGATTTCATATTAATCTGCATCCTTGAATTGAAAATAAAAACAATTGTGGAATGTTCATATTAATGTTTTGCATTTTTCCAAGATGTTTATCTTGTATCTATATATCTTTACTGGACTATAACAGAATAATATTCAAAAGAAAAGCTTATAATTAGTTTCGGTAATAATGTCAAATTAAAGATAGAAAATAATGAAAAGCAAATCTAAGTAGTTGATTAAAAAATTAACAATAACAAATAGGTGCACAACATCCAAAAACAATAAACAAACAAAAAGATAAACATTTAAAATCATGTAATGTAAATATAACACAGTATTAAGTTCTGGTAAATAAATCAACAAAACTTATATTTGGCTCACACATAAATTAACATTAAAATTTTGGCTAAACTGAAAATAAACTGTTAACAAAAGAAAACAAATAATCTGATGTTATTCACAAAATCTTGCATTGAGTTTTAACATTCTTAATGCAAAAGTTATTTAAAATAAAAATATCGAAGAATTCATGAACAAAAGCAGGAAGCTCAATTAAAAAATTGCAATTATTTCAGTAATTTGAATTTGTAACCCCTTAAAACAGCTGACCAAGGACAGAAATAATAATAGTTTTGATAAAATTAATATAACAAATGATGGTATTTGATATTGTTAGTAAAATGAGTTATTACATCTGAAAGATAACATTGTTGTTATTGTTTGATTTTAAGTCTACCGGGCCATACACAAATATCTCTTCAGAAATTGTGATTTAAACTGGGATTGATATAAGAATATCATATTAAAATATTCTACAACGGCTCAAAAATAGTCTTTATATGTGTATTGGGGACAAATATAGCTTCTATTTGTACCCATTCGAAGTCTGTGGTTCCTGTATATTCCATCTCATTAGTGTATACCTTATAATATAACACTAGATGAAGCAGTCTAAGTAAAGTGAAGTCAGAGTTTAACAGCTTAATCGACTTAGCTACTTAAGTTTCAGCCAAGTTGGTCACAGTTATCATAACGACTTGCTTTCAGGTGCAATCACTATCGCAATTGGGCTCAAAAGTTTTTGGCTGTCCATAGAGCTCGTTAGAAGCTGAAAGTGTCCCCCAATACATATGCAAAAGCTACAAAAACCCATTTCTATTTTGATGTTTTTAGCAACAGGAACTAACTAACAATTAATCTATATTATAGGGATGTTGTCAAATCAGATTTCTAAAAGATCCTAAAAACACGACAAATTTTCCACAATTTTCCACATAGCAAAAAGGACAGATATAGTCAATCGGAATGTTGGTCCAAGCCAAAATATGTAAATAAAACACATATATTATATTATTACAAAATATGATAATACAAACAATTTAAAAAGACGGTCAATACCTTTCATGATAAATTTATGAAACTAAAAAGCTTTTCATCAGTTATCACTTTTAATATCATTGAACCATATTGAACATTAAAATTTATTGATTAAATAAAAATAATAACTATACCAAACAATGGGTTAAAATTCTGAAATAAACTATTTACGAAAAAAATACCCTGAATCTATAAAAACAGAACATCACACCCTAACTGATATGTATCTGAAACCTGAAATTTGGAATGAAATGACTAAAACATTATCACTGGAAACTGTTTTTTTTGGAATGGTAAATTTTGAGATTTAAAACTAGTTGAGACTAAAACATTTATTTAATTTATAAAACTATGATTGTAAATATATAAATAATAAGTTAAATTTGTTAAGATAAATACTATCAGAGTACTAAATAGCAATCTAATTTTTTTTTTTTGCAATCTTATATTAAGTAACTTTTAAAATGACATTTTTGACAGTTGGAATGATACCGTATTATAAACTCACAAACAAAGGAAGATTTCATGTTAAAATCCGGCTGGTTCACCTCCTTTTCTGAAATCACAGTTTGCATAAAGTCTGTGATCATGTCTTGCAACACCCTGTACAACAGATTCCCCTACTGCTACTTCTGATATATTATGACCTTTCTTCACTAAACCAATCAGAACATCCTGAAATTAACCAGGATCAAATTATATCTATATATTTATTGCAGTCACTCTAACTTGCCTGTCCATCAGCAAAATATAAAAGCTACAGCTTCATTTAAACTAAACAAACTTGGTATGACAAAGATACAGAGATATTAGGAGTAACAGCTAATGAAGTGTGTAGTTGTCTAAATATTTGTTAAATAAAAAGCTCATTTCATCTATAAGTAACCTTTTTCAGAATTATATACCATGTGACAATGTTGTCATCTATCTGCTGCTACCAGCATTCTCATGTGAAGGCTAGTACCAATGTTTGGACACTTGTATTGCTGGAGAAGCACAACTCTAGAGTAATATGGATAGCTGAAGTTGTGGCGTATCAGCTACTCCATTGTAAAAAGAGGGACAGATACAATGACATATAAAACTACCCCAATTACTGTTTTGCTACCAAAAGTAAAAAAATGAAGTTACCTGATCAAAGTCTTTCTCATACTGTATTTCTGGTGGTAATAGCTGATGATGTAGTCTTAATGTATCAATAGACTTCTTAATATTTCTACCTAACCATAATTCATTCATAGTAACCTTCAACAAAAATATAATATTCTTAATCTGTTAGTTAAAGAATCATTAGTATGATGATGTACTGAAGTTACATATGCTATGTAAATTTATATCAAATGAAATAGAATAAACTGAGAACTTTTCTTCCATGTAGTGTGCATTATGTGTAGCATGTGTTAGCCTTGACTAGTGCTGGAATATTTGAAATTATATAAGATAATGTCATTCAAAATTCAACCAATAAATTACGAAAAGTCAACACTTACCAAAGCCGTTGCTGTAGTAATTTTCGAACCACCTGCAGCTCCAATTACTAGTTTTACATCTCCCTTCTTATCAATGGCTATAGCTGGACACATAGATGACAGGGGACGTTTTCCTGGACGGATAAAATTAGCTGGTGATGGTGGAATACCAAATATATTAGTGATATTAGGTGATGAAAAATCATCCATCTCATCGTTAAATATAATACCAGTTTTTAAACCACGTAACTTAGACCCAAACCTAAAATTAAATTCATTATTTTTGAAAGACAAATATATACTCACAGGAAAACATTTCCATAAAAAGGGGCATAGAAATCTCATTTCACATCACATTCCCCAATAACTTTACCTATCTTTTGTAGATCACTTTGTTAGGTTTCCCAATTCCTTTCTTTAAAAACAATGAGAAACACAGCCAGACACAATAACATTTCTAATATTTCTACACAGAAGTCCTTAACGTTAATTAGAGTGTGCACAAGCCAATGCCTTATATTTTTACATATCATGCTTTAATCTCAGAGACAAAAATTATCTGCGTTTGAAAGTTAAAGAAACAGTCGTCTTTTTTTATGACACTGCCATATATAGAAAACAAATCTATAGAAATAGGAAGAAATTCCTAGTTTGAGATATTTTTGAAAAAATTGTGCAATTTTCGTACATTTCTAGTACTTCTGTTCACATATATTTTAAACTCAAATCAACCCCCCAAAATGGCGCATTGGTCCTTTTAAGATTATCAGACCATCAGACATATTGAAATTGTTACAAAAGTATATCTACAAAGATCTTACAGATGATTAAAAATTTACCTTGCATTAATAGTACTAGTGACTGATACAGCATTACCATGTTGATCTACTATTGATAAATGAGCAGTGCTAGTTGTATATTTATCATAAAATGTTGGACCATAATACATCATATCATGGGTTGTATTATCCCAAATCTTAGACCTGATAAAATCAGCATAGTCTCTCGATGTCAGGTTAGCAACCAACTGGAAATTAGAAATAACTCTCATAAATAGAAGGAGTGTGTGGCCAAAGTCATGCAGATTCATGAAAGCCTGGTCATACCTAATGAATAAACAGGAAGCGGACGCCATCAATAGCCATGTTTCAAATATATAACCCCATCCTTTTAGCTAGGATCTTGTATTTATCTAAAGTGGCAGTTGCACAGGTAAATATCACAATATTGTGACACTGCATGGCAGATAAGACATTGCACAAAAAAAAAAAAACAAATGATCATACATTTGTTTTAACTTACATCAGTTACATTGACAAAATCCTCATCAGCTAAATCTGTTCTTTTAGCATAGGCAAACTTAAAAGCTTCTATCATTCTATGATAAGTTAACACTGTTTTTTTATTGCTCTCTACGTCACGTTTAGTCAAATCATAACCTGGAATAGGAATTCATATCTGTATAAAAATCTGTATTTAGTTGTTACCATCACTATTCAAATAAATAATACAAAACAATTTTATGGTAAACTACTCCACTCCTGATGTAGACCATATTTGTCACATAAACTATATGAATTCAGAAATTTGTGCTAAGATAAGAAACTTACCATCTAATATATTGAGTATAAAAGATAAAACAGCACCACTAGCTGGTGGCGGAGGGGAATATAGACTCAATCCATTGTTCAATTTAATCTTTAATGGTTCTTTACGTATAGCTTTATAATTCTTCAAATCTTCAGCGGTTATGATGGAATCTACAACATGTAATATAAATGAAATGAAATTGAATTTAATGTCATTATTTTAAGCTCCAGTTATTGCTTAAGGAAGTCCAGTCATGTCATTCACTGAGTAGCAAGGTACAACTGACATACAACTGATGACATACTTATTTTCTTTAAATCTTCTAACAGCAATTTAGAAAGAGATCCTGTATAAAAACTTTCCATCTTCTCTTCTGCAATAGTTTTTAGAGTTTTTCCAAGTTTTTCTCTCTTCATTATCTCCCCTGTTTTATACACCTCTCCTGTTTCTGGGTTCACAAATACTTCTCTATAAAAATAAAGTTCAGATGTAAGTGATGTCTGCTAAAGAGGTAGGAGCAATTATTTACTGATTCTAAATTTTCTAAAATGTTTATTGGGGACAATAACAGCTTCTATTTGCATCATTTTGATTTACTGTCAAAGACATTCACAAGCTCACATTTGCCATAAGACAGCACACAAAGTTTTTTGATTTTCCTACCGATACAGCTCTGTAAAATTAAATGAATAAATGTCTTTGATAGTACAAATGAAATAATCACCTTAGAGACGGTTCTTCTTGAATATCTTGAATATTTTTCTGTATAGCTCTACCTAGTGAACCAGGTATCTTGAAACCATCTAAACACATCTTTATAGCTGGCTTAAATAAATCTTTCCACGGCAGAGCTCCGAACTCTTGATGTGCTTGCCAGTAGCCCTTCAGTTCTCCTGGTACTGCTATTGACAGAGGTCCTGCAGAGTAAAAACATGCAATGATCAATGTGTCTGTTCAAAATCACTTTAGCTTATTAAATAAATTTTCAGTTATTTGATGACTCTGTTGATGTCACAATTAAGGCATAAAATATTTATTTCATAAAATGGCCAAAAGTCATGAAAAAAAAAAACAATGTATGAGATTTTTCTGTTATATTGATGACATCTGTCATAGACTAATATAAAATGGCCTGAATAATTTACCTCTGCTAGACGTTCCTGGATGTTTAACATACATATCCTCTGTAGCCTTGCCTGGAGCTGTTTCTCTAGCATCAATTACAACTACTTTATCTTTTGCTCTACACATAAAAAACATGAAGGATCCACTTTATTTCAGTCTGACAAGAATATACCAATTATAGAAACATATGGGTAATAATCTTACTACATTATTATTTTGAATAAATCCTAGTAAAAAGATGGCAAAAATCCTCCAGACAAAATTATCAGAGTAATAGAATCAAAATGGCATAGCTTTGATGATAATAGGCTTACTTTAAAATTGCAGAATAATTCTTTGTTGATTTCACATTACTTGACTAAAAAATTGGGTGAAACACTTGTCAAGTTTGCAAATGCATCACTTTAATAATGTGCTAAGTACTTGACAGTTGAAATGAAATGAACATTTTACGATTCAAAGAGATATTTCGTGTTAACTCACTTTTCATATACAGTCATAAAAAATCCTCCACCAATACCCATACTCTGTGGATCAGCTACTCCCATACATAATAAGGCAGCTATTGATGCATCTACAGCATTACCATCTTTCTTCAAAATATCTCTTCAAGTAAAGTAAAAACTTTTGTAAAAAATGGTAGTAAAAACAACACAATATCTCCATTGAGAATAACCATAATTTAAACTAGAAAAATAGCTGGACCAAATAGTTGATAATAGAATTCAAAATCTGAATTTATAAAACAAGTTCTTTGGACAAAACATTTGTTTGAAGGATTACTCAGGGTACCAGTATTTGAAAATTCCATTTAGTAAAACACTAAATAAAATTAATTCAGCACTATGAAAAAGTAAACTAGCAGAATTGTTTTATTTCCCAGCATTCTTGGAATAACAATGTCACTTCACTTTATGCTTTCAATGTTTTTTTATATTTGTAAATTCCTGTCTTTGGATCCTAATAAAGAAATCATAAAGTCAGTTCAGAACTGTAAGATTTAAAAGACTTACTTCCCAATTCGAGAACATTGTTCCACATCTGCTGCCACAGCTGCATGTTTATAGTCACCAAGTTTAGATTTCGAACCCTTTTCATTGTCATCTTTAGTGTACAGATTGGTAATAAGAAATAAGGCCACTAACATTAAAAACAGCACTGTTAAACTAATTAGTAAGGCTATGACAAAACGCAATCTGAAAAGAAAATAAAAAATGCAATCTGAAAAAAACAAGTATTCAAAAAACTCTTTGACTTATATTCATCATGTGTCAACCCTCATCATTTTGTTTGAATATTTCAATAAATGACTCTCTACATCAATTACAAGAAATATTGCTCACTTGTGACGAACAATAAACAATAATGACAAAATTGTTTTCATATATTCCACACATCCATAGGCCTTTACCAATTTTACAGAATTTTCTGTGAAACTGGTAGGCCTACTAGATGTGTATTTTTCCATAGGCCTTCTTCTCAGTAATCTCAGCATTGATGAATTAATTCTTTTTAACTTTTGACCGATACTTCTAATATAAGCTTATTCTTTGTCATTTTTGTAAAAATAAAAGTTATAGTTAAAATGTTAAAGCCCATGACAAAGCAATTCAATACAAAGTCCTCTACAATAATACATTGTAACAAATAGTATATTGTTATCCTTATTCTTTCAATAGGCCAATTATACAGGGTAATTTGTAAACATGTTTCTCATCCAAAGTTTCTCTTGTATTGTCATTAAATTACCATTAATAAGATACAGATCTTTTAATATTGTTTTACATAGAGTACCATAAGGCACAGAATAAACTGTATACAAAGTGGTGACAATGACACTGTCAATAGGCTACTCATACACATGGATGGGATACGGTAGTTTAAAGTCATTACCTTCGTTTCTTCTTTAATCTTTCTTTATGAAAATGTTGAAAGTCTGGATCATAGATTAATGGTTCCCCTTCTTCATACAGAGGAGCATTGTCGTCTGTGGACGGCATCATGTGCGTTTAACTTTGTTACTTAGTCTAATCCACAAAACGTCAAATGATTACTTCATTATTTATTTGGATTTTATCGCAACCACCCTGTTGACCGTGACTTCAATATAGAGTTATCTCCTTCAGTTGCTTATCGTAAGTGGGTGGGTAAGATTTACAAAATCGCAAACTATTCACGTTTTACAAGACATTACGCTTATCATACGTAACTGTTTGAATCAAAGAATAGGCTACGGTATATTATTCAATGGCCATCCTTTCTTATTTTGCTTATTATGATAGTGTCATCTTTTGAAATTGGAATGAATACTATACAATCTTATTTGCCGTGGCCACTAACAGTTCAGTAGGCTAGTCTACTTGTAAGTTTAACAAGACCAAATATTTCTAAACACATAAATTTTACAGTTTTCAAAATACCATCACTTTTAAAGGAATACTACGTCTTAGAATGAACATGAAATTTAAGAACTTTAAACTTGGCCAATAAGAGCAAATATTCACCAGTAGATATACCTGGTGTCATAAATAACATAACAGGATCCTTAGGTATTATAGTCCGATAAATCAAAAAAATTTATAATTATCCTTAAATATGCAATTAATTATTGAAAAACGCTTAATGTTAAGATTAAGCGTTTTTCAATAACTACTTAGTTTTATGAATTTTCCAATTTTCTAGATTTTACAGGGATTCTGTTGTAACTTTATGACATCAGGTAAGTTCACTGATGAATATATACCCATATTGACCATTCTTGAGAACTTAAATTCTATGTTCATTCTAAGACATATTATCACTTTAAAAATAAACAATAATTTTTGTTGGAAAATGAAAATGAATGTTTTAGGCCTACGTCTTACCTTTCTGCACCCAATTGGGCAGTGTGTAATTAGGGCCATTTTGCATTAGCTGGCTTTTTTTTCTATTTCTAATTGTCGTCAAAGGTTGTAGCACACAGGCCCTCGGTTTTTTGTTCCATCCGAACGACTGTACGCTTCATGGTCATAAAAATTGAAATGATGCCAAACTAAAAGTTTATTCAATATAGATGAAGGTCAGCTTCAATCAAATTAGAATTATCCAATAATTCGTCCTTTTTGTTTTTCAAGAAAGGGATCCTACCCATCTGAACAATTTTGGTTGTATTTATAATATCTTAAATCTATGGGGCTAATAGTATTTTACTGGGTAGGCTAAGAAAGGGCCTGTACTTGTACTTTCATGTGAAAAGTTGCTTTGGAAATGAGGTTAAAAATTACTTGAAATATTGAACACTCTAATCTGAACTATGCTCACCAATCATTTCACTTTCACATTACAGCCTGTTTGATTGCTTCTGATATCAACTTAGATTTTACATTTTCATTCTGATTGGATCAAAATTGAAACAAACCAATCAGAAGTCATGTATTTCAACTAGAAATATTCAGATTCAGTTGGGTGGGAATCAAACAGGCTTTCTGTACACCAATCATTCAGTACAACCACCAATAATAGTACAGGTGGGCTATACCTGAACACTTTTCACCAACTCTTTTGTGTCAACAAATTAAAATCTTTCTCCTTAGTTGCGCTGGGAGTTCACACCACCATTACGGTTTTCAGCAAAAATTTATAGAATGAAAATTTTGTGGTAGGTTTATATTGTGGGATTTTAAAATCAAATCATTATATTATTACTTCATTGAGTATCATGTTTGTATGTTACAATTTATTATATGTTAAATTTATACGATTTGGACCTAATCATTCCACATAATTCAACATCAAATCTTCTTATCTCCCTTATTACGCACTGCATTGAGTTTCTGGTCAGTTTAATTTTAATATAAGAAGCAAGAGAGTTGGATGTCAGATTTCATGTACAAAATCCATTTACTTTCTTTCCATGTCGAAAAAATGGAACAAAACAAAAAGTATACCAAGAAGATGTAACTGGTAATTCAGCTCACGAACAATACAATGGACGAATATGGAATAACTATCATCGTCCGCCGATTGGGAAATGTAAGTCTGCTCTTATTCTAATCTCCCGGCATTTTGCTTGTTCATTTTTGCAGTATCTTAATATAGGCCTCCTGATGTGGCCTCATTTTCTACAGGCAATACACATGCAAATAAATCAAATCCATGATGTGGGATACGGATGGGTACAAACTATGGGAGCAGACATAATCGACAGTGATGAAATAATATTTTCATTTTCTGTGATTATAACCTGTGCTATCAGTTTGCTGAAAGCAGACCCGAATTTGTCATCAACAACTGTTTCTATTTCAGATGTTTTGCACAGCATCAGAGATAATTTGAAAAACTATTTGACAATTGTCAGATTATTAACCCAGAATTCAAAAAAGTTTACAGGATCAAGAAAGTAGGGAATTTCCGAGTCAGGTAAGTGGTGAAATTTTACTGTATGCAAAAAGATACATAATACATAATCCCAAACACAAATCACAGTCGTAATTAACATTGGCAATACACTGATATCATTACATCATCAAGAGAACAGAAATGAAATTTCTTTAGAAATAATCAGTATACAAATATACACTGTTACAGAACTATACATTATCGTCTAAGTAACTTTCCATATAATTCAACACCGTATTAAAGGGCGATAGTCTAGAAATTTCAATATAAAAAAGTCCATCAAATAACACTAATTATGAAATAGTTTAAACTAACATAAAAGATTAACTCTAGAAAAGTTGTTTTAAAATGTACCGAGTCTGCAAAGCTCCTTTATAGCAATATAACATGTTAAAAATAAAATAGAAACGGGTCACTCTTGATATATTTTTTTAAAAAAGATCTTGTAATAATATTTCTGGAAAATAGAATGCTGTCTTCAAAATGTTCTATGGTCGGTAAAGCCCTTGTAATAAAGTTTCCGGTAAGTACAATGTTGTCTTAAAAATGTTCTGGGTCAGTAAAGCTCTTGTTATAAGATATTTCTTCGATAAATGGTAATATTCGTTGGAAAAGGCTGTTTCGAGGATGATTATGTCTAAGTTGAATTTAAAATCAATTAAACAAGTTTTTTCTTTTAGTGTTAGTGGTATAGGTTGATTCATGTTGTCCTATTCTGAACAAACTTTGACTTTACAACCTTTCGACCTGACTTCTCAATAAATATGTAGGCTATTAGTATGTCCATATTTGTCAGTACAATTACCAGTATGAAATATTCAACCTTCAGTCTTATACATCTTTTTGAACTTTTTGTGGCGATACTGTATAATATTACCAAGTTTCGTCAAAATCTGTCAAGAATTATGCCTTCTAGAGTGTTCATGTGAGAATGGAGTTGGCATTTTTACCATGTTTCCGTTCACATCTTTTGTTAGGAAATTCCATAATTTTAAACAAAGAGCGGCATCCTCGCTTCTCTGCATTTGACATATTATTTATGAAAACATAAATGAGGACAAGTCATCCGAAATCGATGTCGTCGTTTTTCTACATAAACGACATCGCCATGTATCTGTCATGTTATAAGGTATTTGTAAATGAGAAGACGACGTACTTTCGTCACTCCAAACGGCCTCCGTGAAAGTTACGCAAGCGCTCTGCAACATACCACGGTGATGAATGGCCATTTTATTTTACCGGAACTATGTCAACATTGTCACGTGATTCTGGTAATTTAAATAATACAGGCAGGTTGTTCGCAACTACTAGTCATTGTATCATTGGATCACCAATAGTCAAAATATAGCTTTACATGCATATGTAAGTGTCAGACTTATCTCCCAAAGTAGGCCTATCTAAATTTAAGGACTTTTTTTAGGTCGCAATATTACTATCAATAGACAAATCACTGCTAAATACCGGAAATATAGAGACTAGCCAAAGAAGACACTTAAACGGAATTCACCATTCATTACCGAGTCAGATTCATCTTATGGAAACTGTCAGTAGTGACAGGCATCCGGCAATTCTCGGCAGTTTATTAAATATCTACAATGTCTGGATTTTCGGAAGCCTACGTTCCCATCTCCATTAAAAATTCATCAGAGAGTTAAGTGAAGAACAGGAATTAAATGCTCTGGAAACTAAACTTAACAGTGAATTATAAAAAAGAACTAACAAATAATGAAGTTTTAAAACAGGAAAAAATATAGCCGTATTAGAAAAGAATCTCAAGGAAGAAAATAAATCATATGGATTTACAGCAAATATAAGGGTATTTTTGGATACATATGATGGTTTCCCCAAGACATATTTAATGGAGCTGATCATCCATCACATTTTATTTTCCGAGGAAAAATTCTTATTGAAATGTAGGTAAAAGTTGATTCAATATTCTTGAGTCAATTTAACGCTAGTAAGTTCTTCAGTTTATCAATAATTGAAGATGATAATAAAATATAAATTGGTGGCGCATATAGATTAAGGATGTTTCCACCTTTCCATTTTTTTAGTATATCAGAAGTTCACTTAATTTAATTACCTAAAAATGGAACTGTTCGAAAGCAGCAGACAACAATACATGATAGAAAAACAAAATGAACTAAAAGAAAAACTAAAACACTACAACAAATGCAGAAAAACATGGAGTAGAATAGATTCGGTGTTTAAAATAGCAAGGACAATTCTAACATTAGGAGTAACCTAAATCAATTATTTATATTTTTTGAAAGATCTAGAGAAGATAAAAACATAACTATTGAAGAATTACAAGAATTTAACGAAATCTTAGACAAGTTTCACGTAGAGATGTCATCTGTAAATATAAAGACAAAATAACTAATTGAAAGTTATTACAGTTGGTGAAGTTGTTTCAATAGCTTCTATTATTTTCTAAAATTTCTGACTGTAGGGGTATTTTTATGGAGGGGGATCGTTGCCAGAAGTATTTACAAAGTCAAACTTGAAAACAATGCCTCGACTTAACAAAGTTATATTTCAACATTACACAATTACGCAATAATGCAAAGTTAAGAATTCATTTCCTTAAAGGAAAGTTTGAATGGTGTCTGATGTGAAATAAAGTTTGAAAAGTAAACTATCAATATCTCAACTTTGTATTAAGTACATAGACTTTTTGATTTTAGGAAGGTTTATTT